ATTTAGTCAAGCAAGCTTACATAATTGCTTTCTGGGCCACCTATCCAAAAAGTTAATTTCTAATACCTGTGCATGTGCATCTTGTAAGTCCACAAAGGGAAAAGAAAATATAAATCTAAAATAGCACTGCCTAATTTTCTGGAACACATAATTCATTAAACATGGATTCTGGCAGCTCAACTTTAACTCAGAAACAAAAGAAATCCACACAAAAGACAATAAATCTGCATTACACATGGTACTAAAATGATCCAATGGATTTATAGATGTTTACAAGTTTGCAGAGTGTGACACAGCGTCCACCAGAAATTTGATATTCACAGCACAAAACATCATAAACATATGTCTGCAACTACAAAAGGGCCTTTTTATGTGGGGATCATTGTTAAAATTGTCTTCAGAACATAAACCTTAAGTTGTAAATGCTACTCCCCATTTATTCTCCGAGACATAACAAATGAGGGAAGAAAAGCAGAGATATGTTTGTAATTGAAAATGTTTCTCAGGAAATGATCTGTACAGGAACATCATTCTCATTCCATTAACTGCTGACTCCAAGCCAACCATTTGTAAAAGTAAATAAATATGCAAACTGGCTGACAACAATGTGCCTGCCTTTAATGTTTCTGCATTAGTACTCGGCCTCCAAAAAAAGAATCTATTTTCTTTTCTCATTTCTCCATTAAACCAAACATGGCATGCACACAAAAGGAGCAGGAGTAATGCTGTTCACAAAAAAAGATGGGAGAAATGCTATGATTTGATTTTCATGTATGCAAAACAAATTAAATGCCTTTTGCCTTGAACTTTCTTTAAAGTCCAAAGCCGCTCCCAAGTCCCTCAGTGACTTGTTTGCTGTTCCTTTCTTTTTTTCTTTTTTTTTTTTTTTCAATTGGCAGGGAAAAAAAACCCTCCACAGACAGACAGACAGACAGACAGACAGATGTCTGGTCTGGGTAGGTAAAAACCAACAAATCAGGAAGCAAACTCAGTTCTTTTTTAAAAGAGTACATGTGATTCTCTTTTGCCAGCTTCATTAAGCCTTCCAGGCTTTCACATTTCATTTGGGATGAAGGTTCCTTCTCAGAATTTCCCTCCAGTTTCTGAGAGGTAATAAGCAGTGAAGTTCCAAGCTAACACAGATGCCAGTCATTCCATTCATTCCTTCTCCACATCCTCTCAACACATCTTTTAAAATGCATAAGCAGTGTCTGCAGATGGTTTGAAAAGCCTGTCACCCTACAGGAGTGTTTAAAACCCTGCTGAAAAATCCCAAAAGGCAATTTTGGGAACAAACACAGACAAGAGGTCAAGCAATGCTGCTTCTTATTCCCAGTGAAGAACAAGCCATGCATATGAGAAATGCTGTGGCCATTCCAAGTTCTTATCAAAATGTGCTGTGTGGAATCTGATCCCAAAACAAACTCCAGAGAGCCCCAGACACCTTGGTAGGGTGTTTGTGCACCAGAAACAGGTGGTTAGCTGCTCTGCACAGGGTATCCCTACGTGCAAAATCCTTTATGGAAACAAATCCTGTGACAGCAAAGCACCTCATGGGAACAAATCCTCTGACAACTGAGATTTCCAGAGTGCTGAGGTACGAACTGAGAGGGCTCTGAACAGATTTACTGAGGGATCTCAGAACTACAGAGCACTTGGGGCCATAAAGAGAAGAGGGGAAAGCATTTGTATCCTCCTCCTCACCCACAATTGGGTATTTCTCAAGTCACAACAAACTGCAATCCCCAGAGGAGAGGCAGACAGACCTCTTGAGTGGAGGGAATTGCTCTTCTCACATGCTCACCAGCTTGCTGCAAGCATTTTTTTCCAAACATTGTGGAGAAGCAGGTTTTATAGGGCTGACTTGCCTCATTTTGTGAATCACCAAGCAGCTAAGAGCAGCTATTCCAACATCAACAAGAGGCGCTCATGCGGAGAAGACAAAACCAAGGATCTGTTCCAAGAAGTCTTTCCCAGCTCCACAAGTTCTAGCTATTCCTAAGAGAAAACCCAAAAATAGTTCTCAGGAATGTGAGGGCACACTAGTAGCAAGCTGAGGGTTTCCTGAATTTCTTGCTCTTTCCTTCCTGTATATATACGCCTTGTTTTTGAAGGGGAAAAAGTTAAGAGAGTTAAGAGAGACCCACTGCATGTCAGTAATCCAAATGAGTAATCCAGTTTTTTCTTGAAAGAAACAGAAAAATGACTACTTTTACTGGAAAGTTAAAGCTCCTTCTCAGAGACTACAAACTGGTTTATGTGTCACACATGGCTCCCATTTTCAAACTGCAGTTCCTAGAGCTACTTGTGTCTGGAGACAAGCACCTCATCACCTTCAGGGAAAGATTCTGTGACAAAGGATTAAAAGATCTGTAATAAGTGGCCAAGCATTTCTACATCACAGAAGGGAAAAAAACCCCAAAAAACCCTGAACCACGTTAGTATCTTATGAGAGCTTCTCATGCTTCAAGATCTTTCTCTACCATCAAAATGGACCAGGATGAAGGTTGGGGTTGACAGCAAGGCTGGAGAAATAGAGATGGGATAAGGGTCACTTGAAGAAATGAAAATAATAATGAATACAAGTATGTAGATATATTACCTATTTGCACAGCTGGTAGTTTCAGTCCATTCTTTGCCACCTTCTGTGTCAATGCTGAGTGTCCAACCATGGTTCTTGACTTGCAACATTAAATTCTGGTCTTCCCCTTGACTTTAAATATTTCCACCTTCTTGCTATGTTTAATATTTTTGCCTAACATGAAGATGACGTCTTAAAGTCTCTGCAATATATCCTAGGGAACTGAAGTTTGTAGTCAAGGACAGAACTGAGATCTAATGTGGGAATTGGGATTTAAAGATTTCAACATGGCAAAACCAGGCTGTGGATTTGGCTGGATCAACAGAACCCAGCTACCTTCTGAAAGAAAAAAGGGTGGATTTGGTAAAGGGCAGCAAAATGAAACCTTCAAATGGAAGAAATATATCTTCTAGCATCCTGAAGACTAAACTGGGTTCTATAGGCCAACGTGGAGGTTAATGTGCATTTAACAGCAGAAATTGTAGCATTTGACTGAAAAAAGGGAAAAAGGGAAAAAGAGAAAAAGGGAAAAAGGGAAAAAGGGAAAAAGGGAAAAAGGGAAAAAGGGAAAAAGGGAAAAAGGGAAAAAGGGAAAAAGGGAAAAAGGGAAAAAGGGAAAAAGGGAAAAAGGGAAAAAGGGAAAAAGGGAAAAAGGGAAAAAGGGAAAAAGGGAAAAAGGGAAAAAGGGAAAAAGGGAAAAGCATTTCCTGAGAAAAGGGAAACTTCCTTCCCCATCCTCACCTCAGGTGAGGATGTGGTGTGAGGTGTGAGGAAGCCCCTCTGCTTTTCCCAGCCATACAGCACTAAGGGTAGCCCAGGGATGACCAGGGATGTGTCAGGGCTGTCTCTGGAAATCCCTGGCTGGAGGGAGGACTTTGGTCAGCTGGCATAAATCACAGTGTGGTGTGATCAGTAAATAATGTGGCTGTGCTATCCTCCTAAAACGCATTTACACAGAAGTGTAAGATGATGATGCAAGACAGGACTTTGGTAGCAAAAAATAGAGATTGTGTTTGGCTTAGGAAAGCAGGATTTGTTCTCAAATTGCACAGGAAATACAGCAACACTTTCCAGCCTAGGCTTTCAAATCCCTTAATCAGAATTAATTCATTTAACAGAAGAAAACAGCAGTATCCTCATTCTGCAGCACAGGAAAAAAACCACAATTCTAGTTTAAGGACCACATCTACATGTTTCCTTTCTGGAGACAAATTGCACTTGTAAAATGGAAGCCTGGCACTCAAAATCCAGCCTTAAAAGCTTGTCTCTAAGGTTACATAGCCTGACAGAGCAGACAGGAACACCTGTACCTCTTGCTTTCCAAACCCATAGCATGGCAAAGAAAACACCCTTTTTTTCCATATAAACCAGTAGAAATGATTTTCATCCAGCCCCGTGGCTCTCCCTTCACAGGCCCTGCCTGGTACCCTGCCTGCATTCCTAATTCTGCTTCTTTCCTTACAAAATCAAGCAGCTGCTCCAACTTCCAAACTCCCTGTCCCAACCAAAGCACTGACTGAGCCGTCCATCTGACCCTGGTGTTCCTGTGAGAACAGCAAGGGTGAAGTCCCAAAGTGCACATGCACTGTCCCCTCTGAGACATCTCCAACAAGCTGGAATTTCAGAGCAGCCCTGTGTGAACTCCTCCCTGCTGAGTGCATCTCCTGGGAGGCTGCCACTGCCACTGTACCAATTTCATCATTTTTTCACCCTACCAATTTCATCATTTTTTCCCTGTACCAATTTCAACAAGCACACCCACCGTTCCCGTGGCTGCAGTATTTCCTGCTTTGCAGGTGGATAAAGAACCTCAGATGGGTTTTACTTCATGGCACTAACACATCTGGAGTTTCCCAGGAATAATCTGCAGCCTTCAGCTTTCATGTCTGAAGGGAGTTTGTGTTACTGCTCCCCTCAGAAAGTGCACAGTACCATGAAGTTTTCATTTTGAATGAATGAGTATTAATATTAAAACTCACTGACTGCATTAACACATAGCCCATCTGAGAATTGCTAGCCCAAGCCTGCTTTTGACTACAAATGACAACTCTCCCTGAGTGGAAATCAGCTGATAAAAATCACTATTTTCACATTGGAGCCAGTGTTACCCAAAGACTGCATTTGTACCAAACTGAAGCTAACAGGAACACATAATCTTACGAAACATCACTAGGATAAAACAGCTAGTTCTAGTTCATACTGCAGAAATACTTCCATGGAATAACATTAAATATTAACAGACTGCTCTATTTTCTTCTTCTTTTACCCAGGAAAAACACAGTCTGACAGGAGTAAGAAGAAAATAAACCCTCATTCTTATCTTCAGCACGCCAAAAATAACCACCACTATAAAAACAGAGGGTCAGAAAGCAATAACCAGAAAAGCAAAACAACCAGATGAGTTGGTCTGGGCTCCTACCTTTAGGGCAAAATGCTCCACAGCCCATCGTAGGGTCGCTGGGCCACCCTCATAGTGCATCCCAGGGGGAACTGCAGTCCTGGAGGAGTTTGAAGCCCCTGGCACTCTTCAGAGGAGCTGTTTTAGCTTTCCAGCCTGTTTTCCACCAGAATGGTCCAAGCACATCACAACTCCCGGCTCAGAGCATCGCTTCAGAACAAGCGACTGACTGCCTATATAATTTAATATGATGCCACATGAGACTCATAGACCAGCTGCAAAAGAAACTAAATCTGCTTTTTGCAGCTTGCTGAGTTGTGTTCTGAAGGCTGGGATGCACTTTTGGTTGTGTGCTTTTGTTATCAGTCATACAACTAAACAAAGTGCTCAAAGGGCAAGTGCAGAACACACGTTTTTAAAAACTCCAGTCTGTTTCTGTTCTGGGCACCTTTTCCCCTTGTAACTGAATAAAGTCACAGGAAAAGTCTGTGCATGGACACTGCAACATTGGGTAGGCAATGGGAAATCTCTTTCTCTTTTTCCTTTTTTTTAATTTTTTTTTTATTTTATTTTTATTTTTTGTTATTGTGAAGCAAAGTCTGATCAATGGGAGTTACTCAAATCCTGTCGTCTGACTTTGAGACTCACATCTGATATTACCAAATATTACCAAATTCAGATCCTGATCACAGTATTCTTTTCTCTACAAATACTTCCCCACTGAAATAATTAGCAACACTCCCATGGAAATGGATTAAGCCCTGAAACAGGCAAAAGCATATAAAAAGCTAAAAAGCAGAGGAAAGGAGAGGTATGAGCCATCAAAAGAATAATAAACTACTGGTAAGAAATAAACTGGTTTTATGGTCTATGGGTTCTTCCAAAGGGGGAAAGTAATGAAAATATAATCTAAAGCAACTACTTACTTGGGCTAAAAATCAAATTCCTGTGAAGTTTTTCTACAGACTAGAACTTTTCAGAAGCTATAAAATGTCTAAGTGTTTGCTTCAGCTTGGAGCAAGAGGGGGGAAGTGACACATCCCTGGCTCATTTCTAAGTCATGGAAAGTAGTTACCTTTCTAATTTCCAGTGGAACTCTGCTTAAAATACCAGTGCCAAAAGACAAGTATGGAGCATGGAGTGGTGTTTGCAGTTTGGGGTTATCCAGCTGTGCTACACAACATCCTCCCCCAGGTTTTGTGTCAGATGTGACTCCTTGCAGAGGAGCCTCAGAGCTCTCATCAGTTCTGGCAGCTCTTTGCCAGCTCCAAGGAGTCTCTGATCATCACATCCCTCTGCAGCTTCTGGGTCACTCCTCAAAGCCTTTCCCTGCCAGCATTTCCATTTCGTGCTGCCATGGGCTCCCCACTCCCACTCCTGGAGTGCCACTGCCTTCTGGCACTGGGAACCTGCACTGCTGAATAACAGCATTCAATTACAAACAATACTCAGCTGGCAGCTCTCTACCAAGCTTCCCTGCTCTTCATTTCTGAATAGAATCCTAAGTGTCCCAGACACTTCATTATGGCAATCCTGCTTGGGACACAGGCACAGCTAAAGGAAAACAATGCTTCACTTCAAATGTCAAGAAGAATGCTGAAAATTATTATATATTAAGATAATTCATGAAGTCTGAAGTCACAGCCACCTTGCATCATCAACCCAACCTATGTTATAAGTGATTATTTATATCTGTTTATAAAGTGATGTTTTTTTGCACACACAGAAGTTCTTTTACAAAAAACAGTAAATGAAATCTGTTTCTTTTACGCTGAGTTTTTATACCTGCAGAAGCAGACAGAAGATCATGCCCAGGTAACAGGTGAGGTTACAGCAGAGTAAGAAAGCTGCAAATTAGCTAAAGCAGAGCTCTTTTCTCAGAGGGTAACGTGGCAAGAAGTTGACAATTTTGGCAGGTCTGAAGTGCACAGCCTGGGGAGCCAGTATTAGAATTTCTGCTCCTTCTCTCTGTAATCCATTGTCACTTGCCACCGACATAAACTCAAGCAGGGCTTGATTTCTAATTCCTGTCATATAACAACAACAAGATCAGCTTTCAAAAAGCCTGTGCACTTCTCCCTTCCCTCAGCAGAGATGAGTGCAGGGAGGAAAGCAGCACACTGTAAGATGCTTTGGGCCTAGAGCTTCCCAAACTCTTCCTAAGGGCTCACTTTCAACCCCACAATTTTCAGCTTTGTAAAAACAGAAATATAGCCAGGGAGGACTAAAGTCTTATTCAAGCCATTTTGGCCATCAATACAGGAAACAATTCAAAGGCAACATGACACTGATAGCTTAATTTGTGAAAATGGATAAATACTGGATCTGCCACATAGCACATTAACCCATGTAACAAATAAATACAGAAATAGCACTGCAATACTTGGTTAAAAGGTTTTGGTTCACAGAAGAGGAAATTCAATTAAAGCATGTAATGTCAATTACTGTCATTTGTAATTTTATTTTGCTTCTCTAGAAACAATACAGATGCAGGATTCTAAAGTTACCTGCATGTTTGATGCAAATGGGATAAAATTATCTAGGTTCTGAGAAAATCCAGATAGTAGTAGGGAAAAAACCCACAGTTTCACCTAACCTCACTCGTGGGTCTTCTGCAGAGTGCTGGTCACATGAGAACTGACAAGCCTTCAATTTAAACACGCAAGCCAACAACCCAGACCTGAAACAGGACTTTCATGTTTCAAAAGTGATGTTAAGGCATCAGAAAGGCTGGGAGGAGAGCAACTGCTTAATTCCCAGCTCCTGCAGATGGGCACAGCCTTACTAAAGCCAACAGAAGAGCACTGACTGACATCAGCAGAGAACTGACCTTACTGCTTATACTGATTGATTCCAGTTGGAAAATGACAGGGTCAGCTTCTCAATGTTTCTGTCTCCTTCTCTCTGCTCTGTGTAGAAGTGACAGAGACCAAAAGCCACGTGGAAGACTCCAAGCACCAGCACAGTAACAAACATTGCCAGGTCTCATCAGTCCCTCTGCAGCATCAGCACCCAGTTCTGCTTTCCCACAAACAGCTTTGCCCAGCACAGCCTGGGGCTGCACAGAAACATCCTGCCCCCAGCACACCCTCCTGAAGGCAGGAGATAACACAAAGAATGAGTTCATAAAATTACTGTTGGTTAGAATAATGCCAGGCATCTTTCTGCCTTGCCAACTACGACCTGAGCTACATCAGAACCAGCAGAAAATCTGCTGTAAAGACCTCCAGGCCATTTTCCCTTAAGCATCACCACTTCTAAGCACGGAAGCATCCTGCCTTTGAACAGCCATACTTTCCTCAATGGTGTGATGCTACAGTGAAACCATGATTAGAATCATAGGAAAGAGCTAACAAAAGAAAGACTAAATCAATCAGATGCTTTCTTATGCCTCTAAATGATACACATAAATCGTGTCCACCAGGTTCCCTCGGGCTATTTCAGGAGCAAGCAGAACACAAAATGATGCAGATTCATTACAAAAAGTCTAAATCTAATCTACCTGAATTGAAAATGCCAGGAATCATGTAAATGGAAGAAAAGATGACAGACCTTGCATGTTATACATAAGCAGAAACAAGAGCCACATAAACTGGGGTAACACAAAGTGCTGGTTCACTGAGAAATCACAGGGCAGATCATCCCTGGCAGTGCCAACATCCACTGGTGCAGCTGCAGGGAGGAAAGAGGCGACTCCAAACTGCCCTTGTGCCTCCAGAGGATGGCATGAGCCTGGCACCTGGGACTTCAGGGCTGGCACTGAGGGTACAGGTGACATTTACCTCCCCTCCCCACCAAAATCCCCAACGGGAGGAATTCCAGCACGGGCTGTGTGATGCACAGGGAGAGGGGGGACACCAGAGTTGTGTTTTCAGATGTGCAAATTATTTAATGGTATCCTTCCCAAATAACACACCTGAATGCTGACAGAAGTCACCTAAAAGGGGAAATTCCAACTAGATCGAGGTGGCAAATGGAAAAAAAAACAAATTAGACTGTTGAAAAATGAAATACTACTGAGGTGGCACAGTTCACCTATAACTGACACATGGCAAAAAATGCATTGACAAGAACCTGAGGAATTCCAGCTCTCCCAGAATGTTACCATCCCAAATTATCCCAAATTATTATTTGCAACGCACCTTGCAAGGTCCAAGTGTTGCTGAACACAGGCAGGCCATTGCCTTTTTCCCTAAACACACAGGGGAAGGAGGCTGATGTTATAACTATAAATACACACACTTTTTTATACCTCGTATCATAAACAAAATCTTTTCTACAACCATACATACACACAAAATTGGATCATTTGGAACACTCTAACATAGTGGTCTCTCCTGTAGGATCTGGATCACACAGCCTCTCTCTCCTAACAGGCCAGCCTGGTTCCCTGCCATTAAATCAAGACACATTCAGGTCTAAACCTTCACCTGGAGCCAGACTTTTTGACTTGCTCTGTGCTGACATTTTAAAGTGCATGCAGGAATAACTCTCCTCTCATTTTCTAAGCCGTGCTGGCTCAAAATCTAAACACCAGCAACACTACTGAAAATACAAAAACAACCTCAAAGTCACCAGAATCTCAGCAGCCTAAATCCAGTGTGCAGATCAGACCTAGATCATAACTCCTGCAGATTTCTCTTGTGGCACAAAAATATTACTCAGCAACAGGCAACACAACTGATTACCAAACAGTTTGCTCAGTGTTATGTCATTATTTCTCAAGTGGAAAAAGAACCGTGTTCTGACTTTCAGGGATGCACTAAACTGGCTCCAAGTTCTGCTAGAGCAAGAGGAAAAACCCCTTGATTTATGGACCTGCACATTAACAAGTGCCTCTTTCTCGTTACTCTGTCTCTGCCTTCCATTTAGCGTTCATGTTACTGGGGTTGGATTTCCTCTGGGCCTGGGCCCTATTCAGTGGCTGCATTTCTACCCCAATTCCATGGGAGATCCCATTCCCAGAGCCCTGCCAAGCTGGCAGTACAGCTCCTGAGAGACTGCTCTGCCTGACGTGCACCGAGCCAGTTATTGACACACCACTGTTCCCATCCAGCTCTGCACCTAAGCACTGAACTGCACAGCACTTCCATATGTTGGATCTGTTACACTGCTCTGGAAACTTATATTACTCTGGGTAAATAAAAAGCTAAGAGCAGCAGGAAAAATATCATAAAAATGCAGCCGAATTTGTTTCATCCTGCCTCCATCAGCAAATTTGGTCTATGACCTCTGCCTATGAGTCATGCAAGTACTTTAAAACTTGCAGTGATTTATATTTCCAGGATAGGAAGTTCAAGGCTTATATTTCTGTTCCCCTACCATAC